TCCTTCCTTCCTTCCTTCCTTCCTTCCTTCCTTCCTTCTTTCCTTCTTTCCTTCTTCTTACTCTTTTCTTCTTCCTCTTCTTAACTGTCATTTGTTAGTCTCTGCGCTTTCTGAACCCCATGAAGTAAAAATGTTAGGACCCCAAATGTCCCCAAAGGTTATGCAAAGATGCATCATGTGCCTGATGCAAGAACACATTCCTGAGTATTGTACTAAGACTGTAGAGCAAGTTGCAATACACTATAAATATATAAGCAAATACAGAAAGAATAAAATTCCATTAACTAATGATGTTCTCAGACATCTGACTATAAAAAAGGTTTATAGGCAAAAAATTGTATAACTAGGTCATTCTAGTACTTACAAAATAATTCAGATTATGCAAGATCCATTAAGTTTCATATTATAGAAATTCAAAATAATTCTTAGCTTCAATTTGGAACATTTTCTTACAGAACATTATTATATTTTGTAAGTGAAAAACAAACTTTACTTTCTAAAGTGTATATATAAATCTATATATCATTGATAAATATATCTAAACTAATAATTTTATTGCACAAATAATTTTGACAAATAATAGTGTTTTGAATTATTTCATGTTAAATTCTAAAATAGAAAAAATAACAGCGCTACTAACTTATTTCACTTAAAATGATAATATATGTGGTTTGAAGAAAAAACAACAGTATATTAGCACTTTTTTAATAGCATGAAACCACATTTATGTGTCTGTATTTTAAATTTATGAATATAAAAAAAGTCTTAAAAACATTCATATGTTTCCTAAATCATATATATGAGGGGGTAATCTTTAATTTTTATTTACCTAGAAGGTCATTTAATAAGTGAATTTGCATTATTTAAACTGATTCATCAGACAATGTCTATGATTGTAAAAGTAGTCATACTATACACAGAATTATACAGAATTCCTTTCACCACAGATTATTATTAAAATTATTTGAGAATAACCTCAGGTAGCATTTGCAAATTCAGATAACATAGTTTCAGTGCAAAAATATACATTGATTTTATAGGGAACTGCTTTATTGAAAAAAATAAAGCACATCTTTATTTCAAACACTGAAAGACAATGTCTTTGTACTATGAATAAAATAATTATTTTTGAAAACTTAAAAAAATACCTAAAATTTCCCATTTAACAGTAAATATTGCATGCAAAAGACTCTAGCAAATCTTTTTAATAAGTATTAAAATGACCAACAGATCAGCAATTTGTATCACTTCACAAAAAAGATTCCACAGTAAATGACTAGGTCTATGTGTGCATGCAACAGTATAGTATGTTTAGAGTCAAAAAAATAAAGGAAAAGGCAATTACCCTAAAAGACATTTCAAGATTCTCTCCACCCCAGATATCCATTCCTGCATCGTAAGTTCCTATCTCTTCAAAGTAGTTTCTGTCAATAGAAAATAGGCCACCAGCCATAGTAGGGGTCCTAGTTGAAAAAACAAAACAAAAAGAAAAGAATATCTTTTGAAAACAATATGTGGAGTTTAATGAGACTGTAGCAAATACCTTTGAGACATTTTACATTAAAAATAATATTACTCAAAAATCTCAAACTGAAAACATAAAACCAAGGTGTAAGAGGTTTTAAAATTAGTAAATAGCATTTTATCGTATTTTCTATAAACTAAATTTAGAGTAACCTCTTTTTGTTATAGGTGATCATACAGACACATGGAAGGAACACAGGGCACTTAAGAGGGGGGCATCTACATTCCTTTTGAAAGCCAAAGCAAAGAGAAGTTAGTATTCTTTATACTACCCTTTAAGAGATTACTAATCATGAAACTGCCAGTTGTGATCTTTTGTCATCTGATTATAAATCATTTTCATGTGAAAATGGGTTTTCTATGGAAATCTCTATAGCCTACATAAATATGAAAATATTGAATGCTATAACATGTTTATAGACAGTTAAGTAATGAGAATTACAAAGGTATTTTCAAACATCAGAGCTTTACATCTAATCACATATTCTTCTCTTTACCTAACTAAAATAATCCAATCAACCATATAACACTGGAGAAACATAGATCCCTTTGCTATGCAAAGACTTAAAGTAAATTTGGCACAGATGCTAAAACTTTTCCCTAGAAATAAATGCTTTTGGTTCTCACATTCGAAACTTCTCTATAAGAACTAAGAAGTCAAATGTTTCATTTTAAATGGTTAATAACCTTTAAAAGATCATTAAAGCAATGTAGATGTGTGAATTATACAAGTCTTTCTATACAAGTATTATAAATTTAACTAAAAAAGTGTGGCTTAGTTGATTGGGCATAGTCCCGTGTATCAAAAGGTTGCTGGTTGGATTCCAGATCCGGGTACATGCCAGGGTTGGGGGCTTGATCCCTGGTAGGGAGCATGCAGGAGGCAGTCTATTGATGTTGCTCTTTCTCTCTCTCCATATCTCTTCTCTAAAATCAATAAAATATTCTTTAAAAAAAAGAAAGACAACTCTAGTTGTTCACAACTGGATCTATCTACAATGGCAATTACTATTTTTGAACATTAATTGTGCACATTAGCACACCTGACGAACTTCAAAAAAAAAAGGCATTTCCCTGCTTGAGTACCACTCTCCATAAATTCAGATTTCATTAACAGGAGGCGGGGCCAGACCTTTGATATCGTGTAAAGTTCCCAGCTAATTGTAATGTGCTGTTCAAGAGGAGAAACAGTGGTCGAGTAACCGATTTGGAATGTTCATCCACCTAGTCTGAGATTGGTAAAAAACAAAACAAATGTTTTGCTTTTCTTGAAATTATATCCTCTTCTGCCACAGGGTATGCTCATGTCCTCTAATTGAACAGTACAGTTCAATGAAAAACCACCAAATAATATTGTCCTTGGATAGCGACCAGACTGTGAAGTCCCTGATTTCTCCCTGCGCTCTCACTGCTTTATACTCAGGTAATTAACTGCCCATCAGTTGGAGGAGCACAGGCTCTCTGAGTCTCAGGGCAGTTTTATTACTTCTGGTCTTGCTGAGCTCCTATCATGAACAGCATCGCTGACCTTCTGAATTATAATGAGAAACACTAACAAAGTGAAACAGATGGTACTTATGGTAGCCACAACCCTCACCTGACTGGGGTTTTGGAACTCTGTGGCAATAACTATATATGGTACTAGAGCGCTGGACAGCTTATATAATCAAACGAGGAACAAAAAACTGCTTCAATTATCCCGTCCTAATGCCACCAAGTGCTTAACAATGTTAAGTAATGCATTTTTAATGATCAGTTCAGAGTGCCTATCCACTTATCTACTTACTAATAAAGGACTAATGCATTCAAGTTAAATACCAGTATTGATTTTCATCTTTCATTTTGGTCATAATTCCTATAAATGTGTGAGAAATGTATAATAAATGGCTATAATAAATCATATATTTACCATAGGAATGACCCAAAAAGTTTCATTTAGTCTTGAAAAGTAAAACAAATAAAATGGCAACTCAAAAAAAAAAGAAAATCCTGTGTTTCTGAGGAGATAAGTTGCTAGAGACAAATTTTTGTCTTTGCAATGTCAGCTCTCTCAAATAGTCAATGGGCCATTTCTTAAAAATAATATCTACAGCAAAAGCAAGTGTTACGCAACATGTTCTGTTCTAAGTCAACTAAATGAACA